CCGTCAATATGAAACTCAAAGGGATCAGCGTTAAATGTTGCACGCAACGCCAGCGCCATCCATCTTCCTTAATGTCAGCTGCAGCTAGCCCGGCGAGTGCCCCCCCCCCCCTCCCTCGCTCCTGCTCATTATGCGAGGACAAAGCAACTACTATATAGTAGCAGGACTTTTCACGCTTTTATGATTTGCTAACGACATGAGCTGCGTCCGGGTGGCTGCTGTTTAAAAATCAATTTCACCACCGCAGGCAGCCCCATGCAGCTGCAAGCCACATGCCCACCCCCCCTCCCTCCCCCCTCTGCATCATCAACTGTTTATATTCGTGTCATGTCACTGACTGCAACAACGCCTCCTGCCTCAAATGGCAGCAACATCAGCAGCAGCATCAGCAGCAGCGGCAGCAGCACAACAAAAGCCAATAGCCGTCAACATGCCGTTTCGTGCTGCTCAGCTTCATGTCCTGGCAGTGCCAGCCCCTCTATATAAGTTGCCCCCCCCCCCCCACACTTACCCCCTGGGCAGGTTCTAGGCAACGACGCCTGCTGGCATGCGTCAGGTGTGCCATTTTAATAAATTATGCATCCTGCTAAATGCTTAAACAATTGAATTTCATATTTACATAATATGTAATATGCTGTGACATCATTATGCAAACGGGTGGGGGGAGGGTGAGGCAGGAGGATTGGCGGGTTGGGGGGGCAACATCCAAGGCGGCTGCTTCTTGCCTGACGCTTTATTGAATTATGTTTCGTGCTGAGTGGCATCCAAAATATGACGCAAACTGTAACAAGACTTTGCACAAAAGGCTAGGTCCGCCGTGTCGGTATTCATTAATTAAGTATTCATTTTAATTAAGTAATATATTAAGTAAATATATATATACTACGTACATATATCAGTTAGAAAACTATAGCTATATTTATATTAATCTATAATATCAATTTGATTATTTAAAAGAGAATGTGCCTGAAAATTCTTAACATTTTTTTGTTATTTTTTATACCCTAAGCACAGTGAAATTGTGTAAAAATGGTTTTATAAAATCGTGCTTGTGTATAATATAATTGATGAATTATATATATTGGCGCATATATGTATACTATGTTCTTTTGTCTATTACATATATATTCTTTGCCAGAATTAAATATATAATCTTGGTATTATATATTTATTATATATTATATATTATATATTTCTTACTTAGAGAAACTTTCATTTTCTTTTATTTTCAACCTATTTTCATTTTGTGTTATAAAAGTAATTTTTGGATACCTCAGCCTACTTCCCTGAAAATTGTAAAAAGCCGTTTTAAGAGATATTGCCTTGGACTTCAATATTTACACACATTTCAATACCATATTTAAGCCTGGTAATTTTCATGCCGATCGGACAACAGACTCCGAAGTTATTTAAGATGGCATTTCCCATTGTGTGTAGTTAAGGGGAAAAAAGCTGGGTATGTTTGGATATCAAGAAAGAAGAAGAAGAAGAAAGAAGAAACTTTGTAACAATGGTCGGATACTCCCAACTACCACACTCTTAATTAAAAGTTACTTTCCTGTTCTACGTTTCAACAATTCTTTTATGCCTGTACCCGAAAAATACTTAAGAGAGACTTCATAACCGTTTATAAAGTATATATAGATAGAAGAAACTGTCGTCTATCTGGCGATATCTGAATGAAAACGTCTTCCACCGAATATATAAGAATTTAAGCTAACAAATTTTATGTAAAAGCAGGGTAAGCTTACATCGACGAGTATGTGGAAAAAAATGGGTAGAATAGAAGTCAAAATTCGATTCTTAATGAAATGAAAGCCATTATGCAGAGTCAAGTAGAAGATTCTTCTAGGTTATTTGTCAGTTCGTTGAAGAACAAAATTGGGCTAAACAAAATCAACTAAATGGCTTATATCTCTTTCTTTTCCAGGGAGAAGCCACAGAGAGAAACCACAGAAATTGGGATCAATCCATCAAAATTTAAAAACTGTTTTGTGTGGCATCAAAAATATCTATTAAGGACCGGCCACAGTGCCCGGAAGACTCAAGAGCATAACCAGAAAAACGCAGCCATGCCCATTTTGAGCATGATTTGTGAGCTCTTCAACACAGGTGAGTAATATTTAATGTACTTCCGTTCCACTTCTTCTTCTTTTCTTCACACTCAAATCAATCGAAAATATTAAATATTAAAACGATTTGAAAAGCTCTTGAAATTTGACTACAAAATAAACATTATTTATGCTGCATTAAGTCAAGCAAAATAATAAACCGTATACGCATTACGTATACGCCACTTAATACAGCGTATGCGCATTACGTATACGTCACGTAGAGCACAAGCGACAGAGCGCAGAGCAACTAGCTGATTGACTAACTGGCTGGCTGATTGACTGATTGACGCAGCAAATTTATAAGCAAAGACTTAATTACAATAAAGCGCCACGTGACTGCCACATGTGTGTGTGTGCGTGTGTGTGTGTGTGTGTGTGTGTGCGTGTGTGTGTGGCAGGGGCAAACGTTTTGGGGTGGCAACCCTGGCACGCGGTGGATTGCGTCTAATCAAAACTTTTATTTGCATGAAATTAAATTCAAGCAATTGCACTTAATTTGCCAAACAGCCCGAACAGGCGGCGGGACGATGGCAAATAAACAGGACGAAGCGCACGAAATATATAAAACAAAAAAGATTTACCCAGAGAGAGACAGGGCGAGAGAGAGCGACAGAGAGAGAGAGGGAGAGAGAGAGAGAGCGAGCGAGTGAAACGAAATTAAAAAGCAAGCAAGCGTGGCCAAGGGCCAGGGCATGCGGGTGGAAAAAAAAAGAAAAGAAAGTAAATTATGGCAAAATCTAAGATGCTGGGCGTTGGGCAAAAGGGGCGTGGCAGGCGCAGCCGCAGCGCCAGCCTTTTGAAGTATGCACACGCACACGCACACACACACACACACGCATATACACGCACTCCAGACGCACATAAATAAAGTATTTGATGTGCATGAAGTTAATGTCTTATTATGCCCAAGTTGTCAAAAACAAGCAGCAGGGCCCACTCCCCCCCCCTCCACGCCCTCCACGCCCCAAAGTAGTTAAACGCTGGCTGTTAAAGCCTGCTCCATGTGTGTGTGCATGTGAGTGTGTGTGTGCGGGCGCTGCATGGGCGTGGATTTTATGAACTTGAGCTCTGATTTGGCTAAGGCGCCGCCCGCGCTGCCTGCTTAATGATAACAAACTCAACACAAGTGATAACGCGTCAAATTACCAAAGCGCCGAGCTCATGTGTGTGTGTGTTGATGTGTGTGTGTGCTGGTGTGTGTGTGTGGGCAGCGCCGTCGCGGGTGTTGTAAATACAATCAATGAATTTCAACTGGTTGTCTTGGCTTCGCCTAACCCGAACCCACATTTGCAATTGTCTGATGTGTGTGTGGTGTGTGTGGTGTGGGTGTGTGGTGTGTGTGGCAAAAACGAAATTAGGCAAATTTAATGAATTTATGCTGGTGGCGTCTCCTTTTGTAATCTGAGTGCGCGCGCAGCAAAGTAAGTGACCCGCTTCGTTCCCGGTTAAGTGGCTTCCCTTCCAGGCCAAGAGCGCGTGGAGCAGGTGGAGCGGGCGGAGCGAGTGGTGCGGGTGGAGCGGGCGGAGCGGGTGGGCACATAAAGGCGGCTCTAGATGTGTCGCTGCGTGTGTGAACTGGCAGCAATTTGCCATATCGTTCGGTTGCGGCGAGAAGGCTATAAATGAGCTGCGTGGAGGACGGCTGAGCGGCTGGTTAGTTTCGGCTGGGGAGCTATTAACTTAGATAACATTTGTGGTCACGGCGCGCGATAAGGATCTGATCTTTAAGAACTCAACATTTAATCAAAGCGGTTCGCTTGTAAGAGACCTACAACGACGCATATTCTACACTGTGAATAACAAGCTAAATAAACAAATAGAAGGAGAAAGGTACGAATCTACAGAAGAAGAATCTACAGAAATTTACCTTGCAGTTTTGCAGATATGTGAGAGAGATGAAGCTCGTAAATTTGATAATAAAAATTCTATACGGCCGATTCTTCCCATAGAGCTATACTTTATAGAAATGCAATATTGGTATGATTTTGTTTATCTAGTAAATGCCGAGTTTGGTTTAGATATATTGATAAACAAAATTGTTTATCATACAAGAACTTAATTTTCGATCGATGATGTTGATGATGTTAATAAGATTATGCATAAATATGAGGAGCATAGTGAAACCAATAATTGTCGAGTTTGGTAAAGATAAATTGATAATCATAGAAGTTTTCCATACAAGAATCTGCTTATCGACCGATCGTTCCTAGCTATATGATATAGTTATCCGATTCGACAGTTTTGGACACATCTAATGCATGCAACAGAAAGACAAACATATGCAAAGTCTTAAGACTGAGAGTCTAGTTCGCATAGAAACAGACAAAATATATATACTATATACTGCTAGACATAAATATATAAACTTCATAGGGTCGAAGTTGCCCCCTTCTTGCTTTTCTCATACTATGACTAATGTATAATACCCTCGACAAGGGCATTAGAATACAAAACTTACTGAATTGAACCGGCGACCGCACGTTTGTTGGTCCTACGCTCAAATAATTAAGCCACACAGACTCACGACGTCACGTTTGAATGGCAATTTTGGCTTTCATTCATGATTTTCTTTCCTAAAGGTCAAATTTCATCTTACCATCTCTAATTTTTTGGTCTTGTATCAGTCAGAACAGTTCTAGATAATTATTGCCTGCCCTTTTTGTTGATGATGGCACAAATAAAAGGTTATTAAGAGAGCAGAAGGTAAAAGTAAAACTCTAATATTGTTAATTAATTTCAATACCGATCTGAATTTACATTAAGTTAGTTGGGAACTCTACCTATTGCCACTTAAATGCATTTCATAAATATAATTTGATGAGCTTAGAGTTCACGTAGAATTAGCACATCCAGACAAGTTCCAACAACGATTGAATGCGTTTCTAGATTCTTGTATTTTGTTGCTGCTGGCAGCTAAACATTCGTGTGGGCATCCCAGACATGGACTCGCTGGATACGCAACAGATATGTTGGCCGGAAGCGATGCCACATCATGTACCACCTGTCCACGAAGGGGAAGACGGGATTGTCGGCAAATATTTTGAGCAGAGCAGCGACCAGTGCCGGGCCATAGCCCAGTTTCCAAGTATGTTTATCGGCCGAATACTCGAAACAATGCAGAAAATAGAAGATAATCCAATTGGTGACCGTCAAATAGAGTGGCATCACGTACTTGTAAACCAGCCAATAGCCAACAATGGGCGGATAGAAGCCCGGCGAGAAGCCGGCCGCCTCGTAGATGACATGCAGGCGATAGCAGGTGCCGAAGATCATAAAATATACCAAAAGTGTGACATGGACCATGAAGAACGACTTGACAAAGTGCCACAGACGCCAATGGATGAGTGCGTGGGCAACGTAGCCGACCATCTCCTCAGTATTGAGACCCTTGCCGATCTCATCCGCGAACAGCTCCGACTCGGGCTTGCCGAGATTCCGCAACAGATTCTCCATTATGAAGATACGCTTCCAACAGTAACAGCCCCAGGCATTGGCTTTTGCGCCGCTCAGTTGAAAGTTTGTGTGTATTAGGTAGAGTTTGTCGGTCCTAAATCGAAATATCTTCAATACCTTTTCCAGGGCATCCCTCAATTCGCCGGCGGGCATTTTGGTGCGCTTGCTCAGAAGCGGGATGCCAAACATACTGTACATCATCAGGCCAAGGCTGGATACAACGAACAGGAAGCCCCATATCCAGAGCACAAACCAGTGTCCGCCCGACTTTTCGATAAACAAAAAGATTGCCGTCAGCGGCACGAGGCCCACCTGTACCAGGACGAGCAGCAGAGCGAACGAGCAGAGCACCCCGACCAGGGGCAAAGTCTTCTCCCGACCGATATTGTACCATTGGGCGAGCACCAGTTTGTTGTAGAAGATCTGTGGCAGGCGACGCACCACCAAATAGCTGGAGAATAACGCCACATACGCAATGCTCTGCCAGACCAGATCGTCCACAATGCTGTAACAATTGATGATCACCTTCCACAGATACGGATAGACGCCAAAGTACAGTTCGATAAAACAGAATATCGCATCGAAGATGTAGGAGAGCAGCGTCTGTTCCACGGAATACATCTCATCCGTCTTGCAGTGCACATACGCCTCCTTGGAGAAGATGTTCCGCATTTCGTGAGGAGGATCCACGTTATTGTTGCACACCCGCAGCTGGCGCCAGCAGAGATACACGTGAAAGAAGTTCCGCACAACGATCATCAGCAAGAGCACGTGCCGCAACAGCACCGGATCGAATAGGGTAATCTCTTTTGGCAATAGACGCAGTTGGATTCCATTATCCGGTATAACCATCGGCTGGCTCTGCATCGGATCCTGATATAACGAGTAGCTCATGTTGAAAGTGTTCGCATGCAATTTTTAATTAGTGTGAAATAAGGAAAACTGGAAAATGCCTTTTTCAAGCAGCCTTTTCAAAGTGCGCTCCGTTTTTATTGCTTTTCTAGTTCTCATTTTTCCGGCAATCAATTTGGTTTCAATTTTAATTTCACCTAGGCGCGTGGAAAATAGATGGAATTTCATTATTTAAAACTTTTCAAGTGTGTCAAACGCGCAAGACTGGGGAAAATTACGATTTGTACAATTTTTAGCGGTAACAGGGATAAAGCGACATATTCTGGACCTCTGCGAGAGTTAATCCGAATTTGGATTATGTAGCTCTTGGAACCTTTGAGATATGCCTAAAAAAGTACAGTAATTCGTTATCGATTTTTATCGATTGCTTAGCAAATGAGCAAGCTATCGATGATACGAGAGAACCTACCTTCGAAATTTCTCAACCTCTAATAGGTTCTGAGAACGATGCGTTCTGACATAAAGTCAGATGGACCTAGAATTAGAGGGCTAGATTAACTATTTACATACATTGTCAGCAAATCATCATACCCTTTTTACCTATTTGTAATGGGTGCAGGGTATGGAACAGTTTTACAATTTGACGTGGAGGGTATTCAAAAAGTGAAATATTCTTACCGAATTTTATGTAACTTGCTTTCATAATGTTCGAGCGAGGCTTAAAAAACCAAGTCTCGACAAAATTGTTAAACTCGCTCCGCGTATGATATTCGAGAATATATATATTTTAAATTTTTCCAGCTTTAACTTCTGTAGTTCCCGAGATCTACGCGTTCTCATAGAAGTAAATCTTTCGAAAGAACCAAGAAAACATTTTATATACTTGCACAAAAATATTATATAATTTTCACCCATTTTGAATGAGTTCAAATTATAGAAAAAGATAATATAAATATAAACGCAGTATTTAATGCTGGTTTTGGCGACCATTTCCATATTATAAATGTTTGTCTGCCTAGTTGGGGGACAAAAAAAACGAATATTTATATTATATTTGGAAATTTTCTACTTAAAAGATCTCGCTAAAAATATGCCCATCTTGCTTAACAGAAATATTAAAAAAAAAAAATATATATAATAAAGTATATATATTATTTTGTAGTCGCAGATTAGAAACTCAGTTGTTAAGTAAACGAAAACTAAAGCTTTCACACTGCGAACAGAGTATCGCGCAGTCGCATTTATTTTGTGCTTCAACAACTTTGCTAGGCTCCTTGAATTATCGTTCGAGCAGCTCCGACCCATTCCCAGCCTCATTATCGGCCATCTGGGGGCATCATAGTGGGGGTAAGTCGCACAGCCCATGCCTCAATGCGAAACTTGTCATAGGAATTGTGAGCGACAGGCGGAAAAGGCCCAAAGTCCTCCATCTGCTGGCCCGAATTGGCTTCATTGCGTCTAAATGTGGTGTCAGACACGGTTGTCGCAGCCCGATGGCAAAATTTCTTATCTCCGGCATTGGGCCTGCCAATGCCCCCGCTCCGCTCCTGTGACCGTGCCAAAAGTGACAGGTTTTCGATGCGGCTGCCCCCCGGAAAGTTGTTGGGACTTAATGATGCGTGCCTGGCACAGAAAAAAAAAGTCTGCGACTTTTGTGGCATCTTGGCCTTTAAATTTTAATTGAGTAAGTTGCCAACGCACGAGGAGTTTCTGTTGCTTTTGGCTGTTGTAAGTAGGTTCACACATTTATTTTCCAAAAGAAAAAATAAAACATTTTTAATTGTGAGAATTTCTCTCCTTGTACATACAATTGCATAATTTTTCATTTGTATTATATTTTTTTGTCGCTTAATTCTTTGTGCCGTAAAAGGTATCCAAAAGTTAATTGATGAATCGAGGAGCCGAGCCCTCTGCTCCTTGTCATCATCAAAAGAAGGGAACGACGGGAATGATCCTTTGCCTTACACACGCTTCGTTTAAGTTTTTTGTTTAAAGTGATATATTGTATTAAATTAAAAGTTATCACATGATATTATAATATTGTGTTTGCAATTTCGTAAATAGTGTTGTGTTTGTTTTGTTGTTGAAGGGGAGTGAGTGGGGGCGTGGAGCAAGCGTCAAAATAATTTACAAGTGTTGCTAACATAAAATGCTATGTTGAAGAGAAGTTTGCTTCGGCTCACATCTAACCCCTCTTGTTGTGGGTTATTTGCTGCCCGCGACAAACAGATGATACGAGTAGTTGGTTGTACGAAAACTTAATTTGTAGCTATTACTTAAATTAATCTTAAGTTCTAGGCGCTGCTTCTCATTTGCTAATCAAATCAACTGATACTAAAGTTAGTTAGTTTCCTCTGTTTAGCTTAATCGAAGCGCGTGTGTCGGCCTCCTCCGCCTCCGTCGCCGCCGTTCCGGTTGCCAAAGCCACCACCATCGCCGCCGCCGCCGCCACCACCGCCAAAGCCGCGTCCATTGCTGAGGCTGCCCTTCTTGAATCCGCCGCCGCCGCCGAAGCGACCGCCACCACCGCCGCCGCCTCCATACCGGGAGCGTCCGCCGCCGCCGTCGTAGCGCGAGTTGCGTGCCAGATTCTCCAGCGCGGGGTTGATTTCCTGCGAGAATAGTGAAAAAAGTGTTAAATATAATTGAGATTTTGATGGAATCTCCAACTTTACGTACTTGATTAGCCTCTCTGAGCACATCGACAAGCGACTTGGCCTGCTTGGCATTGTTTTTCGTGAAGAAGGCAAAGGATGTGCCCTTGGTATTCGAACGTCCTGTACGTCCAATGCGATGAATGTAGTCCTCGCTGTTTTGTGGATAGTCAAAGTTGATGACATACTTGATGCCATCGACGTCTGTGCATATGTGAGAAATAGATGAATGTGTTCATAGGTTAATATAAAGATGATTTATGTGCAGGATAGGCATTTTTTAAGGTTTATTTTCTAAAAACAGTTTGCAAATTGCCAAATGGTTTTGAATTTTCTATTTGCTCTGGTGCTTGCTTTTGCTGCAACAACAATTTTTAGCGCTTTTTCCGAGACGTTTTTACACTTTGAATACACTTGTCTTTTTTGATTCGCTTTTCGAGTAAAGTTTTTATATTGGGTATATTTTTTTTCCGCTTTTTTTTTATATATATATTTAGTTTTTTTTTTGTTTTGTTTTTACGAAAAAAAGAAAATGTTTCAAAATGTACGTTACCTTCTTGGTGCTACAAATTGTTTCACTCAATTTTCTCTCAATCAAAATCTCAAAGTTTTGTGGCGCCGCGCAGCTCGTGGTCCAAACTCTCTCCCAACAACAACAACAATATATATGTATATTATTTAAATATGGTCGCATGGCGAAGCGAGCGGCGAGAGTTTGTGGCATTGAGCCCCGCGTGCACCTCATCTGACTCGACTCGACTCGACTCATTAGACTTGGGGGCTGGGGGTCGGGCCAGGCCAACCGGTAACCGCATCCTCCTCCATAGAAGGGAGGCGGCGGCATGTGTTTATTATATTTAAATTAAACTCTTTTTTTTTTTTAAATGTTTCTGTAGAACTTTTTAAACAAGCGTCGGTGTCCAGGAGGTTCAGCAGTTGCCACCCACTAGACGGCGCAGGCAGATGGGCAGTGGGCGTGGCGGCCCAATTGGTAGCTAGGCACTCAGCAGCAGCAGAGGCAGCAGCAGCGACGACGACGACGACGACGATCACACAGCTCTCTTCCTCTTCCTGGCGTCCAACATTCCATTCCTCCACATACAATTCTGGGACAGCTCTGATATTAGTGGAAATGGATCTGTGTGTATATGGATGTGTGTGTGTGTGTGTGTGAGTGCATCCATTGGGCTATTCATTCCGTGTTGCTGTCGCTGCCTGGCTGATGTTTGTGGTGTGTGCTTAGCAACCGGCCGGCCGACGACATCAGCGCCTTTCAAGATCGACATAAATTTGCCTGCTTTGTAGCGCCGCCTTCAACTGGTGACAACCAAGATGTGCCCCTTGACCGTTTGCTTGTTGCTTTCGTTCGTATTTGGTTTAGTTGGCTGGCTGGTCGGTTGGTTGGTTGGTTGGTTGACTCAACACTCTTTCTCGATGTGAGGACTGCAGAGGCCACGTATGATGCATGATGTTGGGGATATATATGCCCTCGTCTCGTATGTGAGAATGCGTTCAGTTAACGTTGATCACGCGCGTCCGAACACGAACACACGACTCGGACGATCAGGTGAACATTCAAATTGTGCGTGTGTTCTCAATTTTATTCAAACAATTCAATTGTTTAGAGTTATTCATTCTTTCATTCAGTTTGAGCGGACAGAAAGTCGGCTCAAGTTACGAGTACAGGTTTTGGGACTTGTAGTTTGTCCTTTATCCTCCCCATCATACTACAATAAACGGCCTCTGTAAACGAGAAAGAAGGAAGAGAGAGAGAGAGAGACAAAGAGAGAGAGAGAGAGGCAGAGAGAGACACGCACACAGACAATGTGTGTGCACAACACAAGGCACACATATTTATCATTTACGGGGTGTTTTTTTTTTTGGTTTTTTTTTGTTTGGAGGGGGGGGGGGGGTTAGTTTCGCGGCATTGCAGGGAGGCGGGTGCATGGTTTTGGGGCGGGGGCGTGGGCGTGGGCAGGTCGGGTCGGGTGAGGGGGTGTGGAATAAAAATGTATGTTGATTATTAAAGTTTTTTGCTTTGATTGGGGCGCTTAAAACTAAAAACTGTTGATATATATATATTTAAAGAAAGTTTTCGCGCACGCTAATTTGTTCTTGTCTTCAAGTCTAGATGCAGTTGATGAGGGGGTGGCGGGCGGGATCTGTGGGGTTTGTCTGGGGGGAGTTATAGTCTAGGGGAATATATACAGTGAAAGCTCCGCTCGATTTCTGACTAATTTGGCAACAAAATATATATTTTTGATATCATAATTTTGTCTTGGATCGAGACATCTCTGTATATATATTCTTGATCCCTCAGTTTCTAAATTCTCAAGCTAACCTTATATGGAACTCATATAGAAGCCATAGAAACGATCCGTCAAGATCGAACTACTATATTATACAGCTCTATAGGAAGAATCGGACGAAAAGTGAGTTTTTGTATGGGATATTTTCATCAACTTCAGCAATAATTATGAGCTTCACAATTCTTCTCACTTATCTTCTTAATAACAAGTACAATTTTATAAGTCTTGCCTGTCCGTTCAAGCGAGCTTTCACTGTGTGCATGTTAAGCAAATGTGTTTATGGGCGAATGTTTATGTGTGTGTGTGTGTGAGTGTGTGCGTCTAAGTGTGGCAAAGGCTTTATGGCGACCGTCGTGAAACTAGGTGAATTGCTCATGCATAACGTTAACTTACCCAAGCCACGGGCCGCCACATCGGTGGCCACCAGAATGTTGGACTTGCCGGAGCGGAACTCGCGCAGAACAAAGTCGCGCTCTGACTGGGATTTGTCGCCATGAATTGCGCCGCAGCGCACGCCGAAGCTGCGTATGAATCGTACCAGATTATCCACGCGACGCTTGGTCTCCACAAAGATGATGATCTTGCCGGGATTCTCGCTGGTATCGTAGATGTCGGAGAGCAGGCTCTTGAGTCTGTAAGGGCAGTAAATAGAGATCGGATTAAAAAGCAGGAATGAGATGAACTTTGCTGGCGGCTGCTTACTTGTCCTCCTTGCTGAATTCGTCGCAGACATCGACGACTTGGCGAATATTGTGATTGGCCGAGAGCTCGAGGGAGCCAATGTTGATCTGTATGTAATTGCCGAGAAAATCCTCGGCCAGCTGTTTAACCTCTTTGGGCCAGGTGGCGCTCCACATGAGCGTCTGGCGATCGGGACGTATCTGTGAGACAATCTTGCGTATCTGCGGCTCGAAGCCCATGTCCAACATGCGATCGGCCTCATCCAGCACCAGATAGGTGCAGCGCTTCAGATTGGTCGAGCCCGCCGAGAGGAAATCAATGAGACGGCCGGGCGTGGCGATCACAATCTCACAGCCACGCTGCAGATCGCGCATCTGACCGCCCTTCGGTGCGCCGCCAAAGACGCACGTGTTGCGCACATACGAGGACGAACCGAACTCGGTGGCCACCTGCTGTATCTGCTGGGCCAGCTCGCGCGTCGGCGCCAGCACCAGTGCAATGGGACCCTCGCCGCGCTGCAGCGGCTGCTGGTTGTTGATGTGCACAATGGCGGGCAGTATATAGCCGAGCGTCTTGCCCGAGCCCGTCTTGGCAATGCCCACAAAGTTAGCGCCACTCATGGCAATTGGCCAGCCCTGCGCCTGGATTGGTGTGGGCGACTTGTAGCCCTGGCGGCGAATCTCCTTCACCACATAGTCGGGCAGATAGGCCTCGGCAAAGTCCTGTATGGGATTGGCCGCCTGGCCGCGCACTGTGATCTCGTGCTCGTCGCGATAGCGCTGCACCTCGTAGGGCGTGCGAGCGGCCACCGTGGGATGCTCCTGATAGAAGTTCTTCTTGAACGGCGTCAAATTGGAGAAGTCCACTGGGCGCATGGGTAAATCCTGGCTGCCGCCACCGCGACGATCACCGCCGAAGCCGCCGCCTCCACCACCGCCGCCGCCAAAACGCCCACCGCCGCCGCCGCCACCACCGCCGCGATCATCACGACGCTTCTCAATGCGTCCATTGCGTACGCCGTGATAGTCGCCGCCGCCGCCAAAACGTCCACCACCGCCGCCGCCGCCACCGCGACGATCATCATCGCGGTCGCGGCCGCCACGTGGTCCGGATCCAAAATCACGGTCGTGCGGTGCCCTGTTTAAAGAAAATACAATTCATATAAATTATGAGAAAAAATAATGGGAAATGCTAGAATGACACTTTATTCGGATTGGCAACTTAAATTTTGGCTATGCGGTAACCGACTTGTGCGCTTTTTGCATTTTGTGCAATTTTATCCAATTTCAACATATTCAGTTTGCTTTTGATTGAATTTTGCTTTCGTTTGCAGAAATATTAAATGTCATTCGAGCTGGTGAATTGTTAATGCGGCGCCCACTTAGATCGCATGCTGTTCGTTTGCAGTCAGTTTTGCGACTGGCTGGCAACGCTAAACATTTGACAGATTTGACGTGAGTGAGAGAGAGCGCGCGAGTGGGACAGCAATAGAACCGAACCGCAATAAACTTAAATAAAACTAATTGCGTGTTAAGGAAATTAAATAAATTTCGAATAATGCAAACAATAAAGCAAATTTGATTGACAACAACATGCAATCCCAGCATTTATCTAAGGTATACAACATTTACATACATACATACAATTGCTCAACTAAACAACTCGGCACCTGGCAGCGGCAGCCAAAACACAAATGTTACAGTTCTGACATTAATCAATTATACACACAAACACACATACACACACATGTAAAACGTATCGGTTTATTCGTTTGTAATGTGCAGCCCATAAAATGCTACCCTCTCATTTCCTTTTCCCCCGCCAAATGTCTGTCAATTTGGGCTACTCCGCCCTTTGTTTTTTTTTTTTGTTAGGCACGCTAACTTGGCCAACTGACAGAACAGAATGCTGAACGTTTATTAGACAGCAAATGTCTTGTCTAGCCCCCCGCTCTCTTTCTTTACACACTGTCGTGTGCTCTACCTGTCGCGCTTCCTGGCATGCAAAAAGGCAAATCGTGCGCGCACACGACAGAGCAAACGAGCGACGGGGCAGACTCTCATAATCAATTGGCGTCGTTTGACATTTTAAACTAACAAACTGGGAGAGTTAGACAGAGATGGAGAGCTCAGCCAGGTAGCGGTATTAGCTTTGACAGACGGCGATAAAAAATCATGGGCACGCAAACTGTACTACGAACTGTTATACATGAGCGAGACACGCGAAAAATGCCGCCAATACATACACAGGCACACACACATACACACATTGTTGCACGCTGTGTCTGCGTGCTCATGTGAGGGCATACAGACAAATTAAAATGCTATAAAAAAGCAAACGAAGTAAAGACACGTTTCACAAATCAAGCCAATTCTCTTTATGACGTACACTGACATTTTCCCCTCCCCTTTTCCTGTTGTTGTGGTTCTTGCTATTAGTTGTTGCTTGCGGGTAAGAAAAATAATAACAGTAAAATACGACAAAAAAAAAAAAAATGATTTTCTGCTGTTTGCTTTCCCTTCGGCATTTGCAACTCTCCATTAATTACTCATCGTTGAGTTTCGAGGTATACAGACTTTACGAACGTTGAGCGCAAAGCGTGGGCAAGAAAATGGCGACGGAAAAAACCAACAACTACAACAACATATGTACCCATACATGCACATGTTTCATAAGCGCGTTTTTCTTTGAATTTCCATTAGAAATTTACTTACATTATTCCTTCAATTTTGATTTCCTCTGATTGCTCGTCTGGGTCAATAAAAAGCGATTTCCTCGTACGTTTGGACAAATTAGTAGTAGTTTGCCTGTCTGCTGGGAGTGCTTCGTCGACTAATCTGGATGTTTCGAATCGAGTTGACGACAAATGAAACGCACGCTGTGTCTGCTGGGAGCAACTGAATAATACTCTATATGTGGGTACTGCTGACTCCTGGCTAGACCGGCTCCCTTGGAACTGTTGTGGTTGTTCTCTGCAGATGGAAGCAAGACTGCTGCTGGTTGTTCTGTTGGTCGAGCAAAAAAGAAAATGGCGACGTTGCGTTATACATTTTTCCATGCTGTTTGGTGAAATCAATAAGTTGCGCCAGCTGCATGTCGGTAGCGTCGCAGCTTCGCACGATTTTCGCGCTACATATTGTACTAATTTTAACATATTTAACTAAGTAATAATTTATTTCGTTTAATAATCTAATAATTTTCACTTATTATGCACTAAACTCGTGCAGGTCTATGCGCGCGTGTTCTTACCTAACCTCGTCCAAAATGGAAATGAAAGGCGATGAATTTTTGCCCACGATACTGCAGCAACAAACTATCGTTGCTAACATCGATTGTCAACGAGGGTTGCATTGGCTGCAATCGATGTTCTGTATACTTAATTTGCAGCGCGAGACAACGTTGCATATGCCAGTTGCTGTTTTTTGATGTGCTTAAATATAAATAATATGCAAACAACGATAATGTTGTTATGCGAATTAATGACAATAATTCTTTTGATGATTTAAAGATTGTATAACAAGATTATTTGAAAATTGAGCCAATCGCTCGAAACTTTGTGCTACTCAAACGCGTATAGCGCCACCTGCCGGCTTTTGTGAGGAACTAATATGGCACAATGCCATTTGTGAATGTGGCAACGCTTTGCAGTGGCAACATTACAGTTATTTGAAAACCGTAAAAACGCGTGCAATTTCGCAATGTGTATAATTTATTAAATTAGCAAATCAATGTGATTCAAATAAAAATACAATTAGTGCAACAACTACAAACCTAACAAACTACAAAAGGCCTTGTACATTTTGGCACGCCGGCCCTTCAGACAGCCGTACAAATCGTTTATCTTGAGGCAATCAATTTGGCTGATCGTCTTCCTCTGGCCAATTCGCACGCCCGGCTGCAGCGGCGTCATCGTCGGCTTTTGTCCCTTCTTTTTGCTAAAATAGTACTCGCCGTAATGCATCACCGAGTTGTAATCGTAGTCGAAGGCGTATTTGCCCCGCTTGCGCGAGACGAGCTTGAAATTCTTTCGGAAACGCGGCACAATGTTGTCCCAGTGAATCTTCACAAAGTTGTCCCGATCGGCGCGCGATTGCTCGTGGTAGATGCCAATGGCGTGCATTAGCTCGTGCATGATGCGCCCCTCGCTGCTGAAGCAGTGGGCGCTCGTCTCGTCGGGCCGCTGCAGGGCGACGACCTGCTCCCCACCCCGCTTGCCCACATACGACCAGCAGCCCTGCGGCCCGTCCTCGGGCGGCTCAATCAGCAGATAGTCCTCCACATAGCCATCGTATGGCACAAACCGGATGCAGGTGAGCGAATTGAATGTCCACAAAGCATGCATAATAGAGCTCCTCTCCCTGCTCTCATAGCGCGGGCTAATCGCAAAGGGTATGGTGCCGTTGGGCCACAAGCGCTTGGGATGTCGCATCGGATTCACGCCCAGACGCAGTGTGATGTACGTATAGGGATCGATGGCAATGTCGCCTTGGAACAAACGCGGCATGGTCTCCGGATCGTCAATGCCCAGATCATCATCCCCGATATCCGGCCCAAACGGATCGAACTCGTCTGGAAGAGAGTTAGAGATTAGTATGGAAACATTGGAACTGGCTGACTGAGACGCACCTGCCGCCAAGCTGCTGAACTCATGCTCAAAGAAATCCACACCAGCTGGATAATGGACACGCTGCGGCGCCGGCTGCTGCCTGACGCTTTCTCTGCCCGGCTCGGCAGTCAACGCGGCGGGCAACAACAAAAGCGACTGCAGCAGCAGCAGAAGTAGCAGCAACAAAGACCAGTGTAAATCTTCACACATTATAAAAGAGCTTTGATATCGTATTTGTTATTAATATTTGCGTTTCGCTGTTTGTGTTTGCCTTTCAGAGCGACGCCATGCCCGTGGCCACAAGCCAAGCCAGAAACCGTACCGAACCGAACCGCTGCGCGCAAAGACGTTAACTAAACTCGCCGCCAGCTATCGCCGACATTGAGCCCCGCGCGACTTGTATTTAATTTATGCAAAAAGTGCGAAAATAAAAACTAAATAATGTTGGGCATCCGCCGTCAGGTGGATCGGTATCGGTATCGCTTGATGGAGCTTTGCAGACTTGCAAACCAAATCCAACATCTATCAGCTGTATGCGTAGCAGAGCTCCAGCGATCGCCACCAACTGCTCACCTGTCCGACTGACTGGGCGACTCTTGTAATTTAATGCCGCAATGGGAAAGAGCGATGGGCAAGTGAACGGCCTACGTTTTGCCATACACTTCCAATTCGGGTACTATGCCTACCTCAAAATTGTTTGCTTAACTCTGCTAAATTTTCTTACCTTTTAGAAAGTCGCCCAATCTGATTTACTGATCTAATTCAAATGATTAATAATTACCCATCAAATATTGAGCTGAATTTCGCCAACTGGTAAGCGCATATATTCTGCATATTATTCTTTAATTATAATCTGTATAGGGCTTTAGTCTGGGCGATTAAAGGGAATAGGAAGTATAGCTAAAACTTTTCACAACCCTCCGATTGGCTTTTATTTTAAAAAATCTTTGTGAAAATTAACTTGAGTCGTGTTTCATGCTTTACGTAGAATCCACTTCTATTGAATGGAAAATTCGAGTAGAAGGTTGTATGAGTGAAAATTATATATTTTCAGCTATCTGAATCCGCGTTCTAACAAATTCTAAAGTTCAGTCTACGGAAAGTTTTGGTTGCACCTTTTTATTTTGTTTCGATTCGATTTCGAATATCTGTGTATCTATTTGTATGTGGATATTTAACTTATCAAGCGCGGAAAAAGGGTGGAATAGTAATGTCAAGAAAGTTTAAAAAGAAACTTAGACCGGAGAGAGCTGTTTAATACCCTTTAGTCTCTTAAAAAATTACAATTAAAGGCTTAAGCATAAGATTTCTGTTTGAAAGTGTATTTTAGCTGCCGCATTTAAATCATATAATTAATTTCTTTACGTGCTGTTGTTGCTGCCTGTTGTCGTTGGTCAGGTTTACGTCTTAATGTTATAAATAAACAAAATTTCGCAAAATTGATTTCAACGTCCGGAGGCCCGGCACGCTGCATTTCGTAAACGTTTAGAGCTCTGTTTTGTTAGTTGTCTGTTTGTTAGCCAAAACAGTTGCTGTTATTGTTATTATACCCTAGACCTATTGCAAATGGCTTAATGGGTATAATGTTTGGGGGGAAGTGTATGTAACAGGCAGAAGAAGATAGCTACAAATCCATAGTGTGTATATATGATAGTCGAATCGATCTGGACATATCCGTCAGTCTGCTCCTTCGTATGTCCAAATGCTTCGATCTCGGAAGTTAAAACAGCTAAAGGTATACAATTTGTTAGGTAGATACCGCTAAGACCCACGCAGTGCAAGTTAATTTAAATAATCGATAAATAGATTCATTTTTATGAAATCGATTAATCGTTATCGATGCTTTTCTTTATGAGCATACCTCACAGCTTATCAGAGCTAGAGATACCAAATTTGGTTTAAAGACTCTTGTATCTTATACATAATTCCGCAATATTTCACTTTTTAAATACCTCTTTCGAAAAAAGTGTTTTTTTATGTTATAGTTTGGGGCTTTGGTATTTACACACATTTGGTTGCCATATAAGTGTATCAAACATATCATAAAGATCGAAAGATAAACACGGAAGTTAATCAAGAACACATTTTCCATAGAGTTAAGGGAAGAATAGAATGTCTCTAAAAGCAAACTTTAGGCTGCGTGCAGGGTATTTCCAAGTCGGTCACTAGAGCACAGTTATTTTTTGTTGTTGCTGCTGTTAGCTGGTGCTTATATGACACCAAAGAGCAGCATTTGGGCCAAGCATTTGAACATTGCCGCCTCGGGGTCATTTAATTTTCAGATCTAAGATATATGTACGACCGAAATTGTCCAAGACTAACTATTTGTTTAACTATCTACATCTTTGGGTTTTAATTGTTTGTGTAGCAGCACTGGGGAATGCATTTTAATCGCTCATCATTAATTAGAGGCAACTACTTGCAACTTAATTAGCACAACAACAGCAACAACAGTTCGAGCCACACATTTAATCATGATAATTTTGGAATTTAATTTCAATTGTGGTATGTCGGAGCATTTCGTATATTGTCGAGGTGTGAGCTTTGATTTTGTTAATGAATAAATCATTTTGCGAGAACGCATTCCAATTAGTTACTAATATCCAATTACGCAAAATTGTGAGAGATATCAATGGGTCTACTTAGCTATTATGCTCGCTCGTGTGGCTATAAATTCCTTTGTGTACCCTGTGCCCAGAGAAGACACGGATAAAACGGGTATAATGTGCTAAGAGACTTTCCAACACTATTTTTTGGGCAAGGTTGCTTTGGAATGTTGTCTTTGTCAACTATTGGGTATCTTCTCGTCGATCAGTCTTGCTTAGAACACTTTAGAGTTAAGTACAGGGTATCAACTTGTCTCTTAATTTATTTTGTCAATCTTGATTGAAGCAGTTGGGGCTTTGATACAGTATTACCTTTTATAGGGTATCTCTATATCGATCACATATGACTAGACTGCTTTAGTGCTGAGTTTTTGAATGACCAATCGTGACTGATACTCCAGTCCTGGATTCAGAATTCGGCCTAAGTACAGGGTATGCAATAGTCGATCACTTGTGTCTATTATTTCCTTTACTTTGATTTGCAGCATAATCAACTCGATTTTGAATGCGCTACATTTTTAATATATTTTTTTGTATATATCAAATTAATGACTATATGGCTTAAGTACAGGGTATGTCATAGTCGGTCACAACTGACTAGCATTTCCTTAATACTGATTTGCTGAATAATTAATTCTGTTTTGCATGCGCTTTATATTTTATATATTTTTAATATATATTGTATATATTGTATTTATGACTATTCGGCCTAAGTACAGGGTATGCTGCTCTACATACTTTATACTATACACACATGTTATTTATATTCTTTTGAAGCAATTTCCGCCACTTGTTCACTATTTGTGACCTCTTGACCTGTTGTTAACCGCTGCTGACCTGGCGAACGTTCCCAAATTTGAGTCAAATTTCAAATGCGATTCGCTTCTCTTTCTTCTCCTTTTTTATGCTATCCGCTCGCTGCTCAAAGTGTGGACGAAGGGTTGGTGGGGGGGAATGGCATTATACCGCAAGACAAAGCAAACGACTAATTCAAAGTTGTCACGTAATAAACCACCAAAAAGCAAAAACAAAAAAAAAAAGAAATAACTGAAAGCGAGAAACAATCGCATCACAAATAATAAAAATCAAATAAATTTGCATTTCTATTTTATTTATTTTTATTTTTTTTGTCGTCAAAGCCGCGCTAACAACAACAATTTGAACCATGTACAAATCGTTATTTGATTTGATTACGTAATGACGTCACACGCACACACACACACAAACACATACACACAACAACCAAGTGTTGCCAGACGCACCTCCACTCGCACACCCTTCTCGCTGTTCCTGAGACTGTGTCTTTCCCGTTTTGGCTGACAGTTTGTCTGCCGTTTGCATTTCGTTATACCCTTGTAAAGGGTATGATAAACTCCTCACAAAGTATGTAACGCATAGAAGACGAGATATTCAAGAACAAATAGGGTATATATGTATATTGATTAATTTATCATATGCCGGCAAATAATGCAAATATAATTTTGGTATGGCAACACTGTTCGGCATTATCAACATAAGAACGAACTGCTGCTTTTTGTTCGCAAGGGTATTTGATCTTCTGCGCGGCGAACATAACTGTTCTTTCTTATTTTGCATTTGCTTTGCTTTGCATTTTTATTGTGTGCTTCGCTTTGTTTTGCTTTGCCTTGTTTTGTTTTGACACCCAAAAGCGATATCTCCAATTAGATTTCGAATGGAATTAATTGAATTGCATTAAAACGGTTGCTGATTTGTAGCTATGCTGATAGCGCCCCCTCCCCCCCTTTCAGCTGCTCTCCCCTCGCCCGTGCACTTTGACTGCATTAATCTGCATAATTCAAAGATAATATTTAGCATCTGTATAGCAAAATTAATATCGTTATTTTCTTTGAAATATTAACAGCTCAAATTTGCTGCCCCTTTGTTGTGCACTATGAAATGAGGAAGGGTGAGGGATGGGAGAGGGGGGGGGGGATTTGGGGGCATTGCAAGGGATTTGCGTATTAATTATAACGTTGGCAAAATGAAACTTTTATTCTTTTTACGCTTAATAAAGCGAAAGCGTAAAGTTTTTCATGTTGTCATGGAATATCCTATGCTTAAGCAGAAAGTGTAGTGGGTAGAACGGAAGAGTGAGGGAGAGTGAGAGAGAGTGAGAGAGAGAGGGGTGGGGGACCACAACTTTTAATACCGCTAATGTCGATTTTTAGTTAGAGAGAGAGAACGTACAGGAAGCTTATGGAGAATTACGTGAGTGTGTCGCTGGTTAAGCTGCATTCGCCCAAGTCGGCTTAAATATACTTATAGATTTTGGCCAAAACGAAAAACTTCTAGGCCAGCTTTGTCTATGACAGCCAAGCGACCGTATGTTTAACATTTTCATTGACAATATATTGCGAACAAAGACATTGATTATTAGAGTAGAGCATAACATTAATGTGATTGTAATATTAAGTTTCCATTTTGCTGCATTTGAGGCATTTATTAATGCTAGGTAGAGCATTACATTAATTAAATTGTAATATTAATTTTATATTTGATAGGTGGAGCATAAAATTAATTAAATTGTAATATTAAGTTTCTATTTTGCTGCGTTTGTAATTTTCGAATATTAAACATAATTTG